GAAAGAGGTCTTTTGCAGCAGATTTGCCCAATATGTCTTTTGATGTCTTGTCTGCTGCTTCCATTGGCGCTGACTGTAGAACCAAGTAATATGAAGTCTTTGACATCTTCAATCTTTTCTCCATCTATTGTGATGCTGCTTATTGGCCCAGTTGTGAGGATTTTTGTTTTCTTTATGTTGAGGTGTAATCCATACTGTAGACTGTATAGTCTTTCATTTTCATCAGTAAGTGCTCTAAGCCATCCTCACTTTCAGCAAGCAAAGGTGTGTCCTCTGTGTATCTCAGGTTGTTAATAAGCCTTCCTCCAATCCTGATGCCACATTATTCTTCATATAATCCAGCTTCTCGGATTATTTGCTCAGCATACAAGTTGAATAAGTATGGCAAAAGGATACAACCCTGACACACTCCCTTCCTGATTTTAAAACCACGCAATGTCCCCTTATTGTGTTTGAATGACAGCCTCCTGGTCTATGTACAGGTTCCTCATGAGTATAATTAAGTGCTCTGGAATTCCCATTTTTCTCAGTTATCCAAAATATGCCAATCAAATGCCTTTGCATAGTCAATAAAACACAAGTAAACATCTTTCTGGTATTCTTTGCTCTGAGCCAAGAACCATCTGACATCAGCTATGATATCCCTTGCTCCATATCCCCTTCTGAATCCAGCTTGCATTTCTGGAAGCTCTCTGACAATATACTGTTGCAACCATTTTTGAATTATCTTCAGTGAGATTTCACTTGTGTGTGATATTAATGATATTGTTCAATAATTTCCACATTCTGTGGGATTACCTTTCTTTGGAATGGGTACAAATATGGATCTCTTCCAGTCAGTTGGCCAGGTAGCTGTCTTCAAAATCTCTCAGCTTTAAATCTGAATGCCCTATTTTTCCATGATAATCTTTGTGGCAACACCTTCAAACTCTGTCTGCTTTCTTACTTTTTTTTTGTTACTTTTCCCCACCCAGCCTCACTCCTAGTTTGAGCTCTATGACCCACTTGGCCTCATTGCACAATCCTAGGTCATAGAACCATGGAATGGGGTCTCTCTCTTCTTCTCTTTATATATACTATGCTCATATACATATATATGTATCTATCTATCTATATAATATACTGAGCTGTTCATTTATTCACATATATATATAAATCATATATTTAAGAACTAGCAATACTGATCAACTTAACCCAAAAACTCACTGCCATCATGTCAATTCCAACTCATAATGACCCTCTTTGGGTTTCCAAGGCAGTAAATCTTTATGGAAGCATATTGTCTAGTTTTCCTTTCACAGAGGGGTTGGTGGGTTTGAACCGCCAACCTAGTTAGCAGTCAAATGCCTTAGACGCTAAGCCACCAGAGCTCCTTATTGACCAACTTAGAAAATATGTAATTTTCAGAATCAAAACTTTATATAGCACATATATGGGAGTAATTCAGGATCCATGTATCAGAACGTAGGATTCACAGCAATGATGCAGTGGTGAACTGTTAAATTTCACCCATAACCCAACCTATACACTCTGGAACATCTGAAAAGTCATTCTGACACTTAATGTCTTGTGTTTACAAAGTTTTCTTTCTTTCTCTGTGAAGTCTTTCCACCCTTATGTTTAACCCTCACTTGATAAAGCAGGGTGTGTATTTGCAAACCACAGGTCTAAAATGGCAGTTCCCAAACCTGGGTACACATAACAATTACTGAGGGAAATACTGGTTCCGTGGTCTCCCCCCGACCACAGTCAGAACCTCCTGGGGTGCTGTCTGGAGCCTACTGGGGATCAAGGCGCCATCTTTAACTCTTGCCTGGACTCTTGTATTACTTCCAATGGTCTCTTAATGGTTCTCTCTCCTTTCTATCCATGATCTGGGACGGGCATTTCCCAACACAGGAGCAACTGTGAGTGATCCTAGTCAGAGAAGTGCATCAAATGATTGCTCAGAGCTTCCTAGTGTCTTTTCTTCTGCTGTCAGAGTAAAAAGCAAAGAGCTTACAACATTGTGCGAGACCACCATGCCTCTCCGTGTCTCCTCACTTGGCTTTCCTGCTCTCCTGTTCCTCCTCCCTACTTGTCATACTCCAGCCACACTGGATTTGTTGCTGTTTCCTGAACATACCTGGTAAGCTCCTGCTTCGCATTTGCACATCCTCTGCCTGGAAGGTTTTTACCTCAGATACTCAGGTAGCTAGTTTTTGCAGCTCCCTCAAGCATTACATCAAATGCCACTTGCTCAGCTGGCCTTCCTTGACTGCCCAATTTTAACTAGCAAATCTTTGGACTTCCTGCCTCATTCTAATATTGCCCTTTTCTGTTTTATTTTACTGCCTACAAGTGTTTCAGCTTCCTAACATAGCCCTGCCCGATGTAATGTCATGCAGTGATGGAAATGTTCCACAGCTGTGCTGATCAGTACATGTGCTCCTCCCCCAGGTGGCTACGCCAAGCACCTGACTTGTGGTTAGTGAAACTGAGGAAGTGAATATTCCATGGAATTTAATGTTAATTAAGGAAATTTAGAAAATTTAAACTTCATTTAAATTCATTTATTTTTATTAATCAATTATAATTTAATTTAAATAGGCACTTGTAGCTAGTGTCTTCCATATTGGACAGCACAATTATGCTACAATCCATTTTTTAGGTCTGTGTTTGGTGATGCAATAAATCAACCATCTGTACATCAGTGAAGCTATAGATTCCCTCTTTTTTGCTGTTGGCCTACTGGTTTAGCCTTGTATCAATAACATATTGGTTTGCACAGCCTGTTTGTAGAACGTCTTTACATCTGACATAGTTAAACCTTCCAACGTTGTTCTTCAAGATTGATTTGCTTCTTCTTGTTCTGCATTTTCTCATAAATTTTAAAATCTGTTTGCCACTTTTCACCCAAACAAACCAACTAACAACCAAAAACCCTACTGCAATTATAACCTGGGTTTGCACTATATCTCTATCTAGTTGGGAAGGACTGGCATTTACACAATATTGTGTCCTAATCGGTGAACATTTTATGTTCCTCTAATTATTCAGGATTTTAATTTATCTCAAGAGCACTTATACTTATCTGTGTAGAAAGCTTGGACATTTTTTTCACTAGAGTTATACCTATATGTTTGAGATTTTTGATACCACTGAAGTGGACTCAGCTAACATTTTATTTTCTAATTGTTTATTGCTGTATACAGAACAAATTTTATATTAACTTTATATCCACTGATTTTCCTAAATTTTAATAGCTTATCCATACATTGTATAAGCTACTCTCAATACATAATCAAGCCATCTATAAAGAATAAGAATCTTAGTTCTTCCTTTTCAGTATGTACGTATGTATGTGTGTGTGTGTGTGTGTGTGTGTGTATATATATATTCCTTTTTCTTGCTTTATTGTATTGGTTAGGACTTCTAATACATTGGTGATTAGAAATGGTGGTAGAAAGGATGCTTGTATTATTATACAAGCATTTTATTATTATTATTATTATTATTATTGTATTATTATTCTCCCTGATAACAGGGAGAAAATTTTTAATATTTCATCATAAATTATGATATTTGCTGTAGGTGTTTCTTTGTGGGTACACTTATAAAATTAAGAAAATCTCCCTCCATTGGTAATTTATTAAGTTTTTTAAATTTTTTTTTATTATGAACAGATGTCTAGTTTAATCAGCTGTATTTTCTGTGTCTATTAATGCCTATATAAATTTATGTAAGTAATTCAAGAATTCAATATATTTGATGTTTCCATACATTAAAAAAGTCATTATTTTTCAAAGCTTTCACATGTAGCAATCTGCTCAGAGAAATCACTATCATTTATGTTTCAGGACACAACAGAAACATTCATTATTAAATATTCTATAAACATGCCACAAGGAAAGGTGTGCATCAGGGTTGTATCCTTTCCCCTACATTTATTCAGTCTGTATGCTGAGCAAATCATCTGAGAAGCTTGACTGTATGAAGAAGGACACAGCATCAGGACTGGAGGAGGACTCATTAATAACTCACAGTATGCAGACGACATAACTTTTCTTGCCAAAAGTAAAGAAGACTTGAAGCATTTACTGAGGAAGATCAAAGATTACAGCCTTCTATAAGGATTACACCTCAACATAAAGGAAATAAAAATCCTCCCAACTAGACCAATAAGCAACATCATGATAAACAGAGAAAATACTGAATTTCTCAAGGATTTCATTTTACTTGGATCCTTACTCAATGCCCATGGAGTCAAGATATCAAAGGATATATTGCTTTGGGCAAATCTGCCGCAAAAGACCTCTTTCAAGTGTTAAAAATCAAAGATGTCACTTTAAGGACTAAGGTGCACCTGACTATGCTATTTTCAATTGCCCCATATGCATGTGAAAGCTAGACAATGAATAAGGAACACTGAAGAAGAATTGATGTCTTTGAATTATGATGTTGCTGAAGAAACTTTAATATACCATAAGCTGTCAGAAGAATGAACAGATTTGTCTTGGAAGAAGTACAGTAAGAAGCCTCCTTAGAAGGGAGAATAGTAAGACTCTGTCTCGTACACTTTGGACATGTTATCAGGAGGGTAGTCCCTGGAGAAGGACATCATGCTTGGTAGAAAGTCAGCAAAAAAGAGGAAGACCTCAGTGAGCCGGACTGACAGGGTGGCTGCCACGAACGGCTGAAACACGGCAGCGACTGCGAAGATGGCCGAGACTGGGCAATGTTTTGTTCTGTTGTACGTAGGGTCACTAGGAGTTGCAACCGACTCTACAGCACCTAACAACAACAACGCACTACATATACAGTAGGAAACACAATGACAACATTTCAAATCATCACTATTAAACCATTTTTAAAAAAAGATTTCTGTTCAATTTTCTCCTGAACAATAAACACTTTAATGAAGTTGCAATGAAGCCAACTTTCAACATGTTTCACTTTAATTATGTGTGTTTCAAGCATTCATGCAGATTTCACTACTGAATGATAGTTGATTAACTCACCGGTCATATTGCAATATGCAAGGAATGGTCCCAGGGGACCACTTCCATCTGAGTCTATATAGTAAAACCCTGAAGTATTTCCTCTGTGCTTATAGGCTTCACATGACTGCTCATAGATAGCTGTAAAAAAAAAAAAAATCATCATAAATGGAATAGTACAAAATGTATCCTTTAAATTTTAATCTGGACACAATCTACTCCAAGACTTGAAATTTAGCATGTAGATTATCAACTAGGAAAAAGGTACAACATACTTTGAAATACAAAACTCATTCTAATATGATTGAACTAGATTCAATCAAAAAGAAAGAGTAAGGTTGTATTTTATGACATTTATTTTTATATTATGAGGAATAAGGAAGGAGAAGGTAGGTGCTGAAATGTAAAGACACTTCTAAGCATAATGTGTTATCTTTATCTTGCAACATCCATTTTGCAATTTCTAATTCTAGTATCACCTTTTAATACTAAACATCTGAAATATGATAGTAATCTCCTCAAATAATGTGCCACTATCCAATAAATATGCAATAGAAAAGTTTTAAATAAAGTTGTAACTGTACTATTTTCTCACATAAAATAAGTCATATAGAATATTTTTTCATAAAACTAGTACGACTTAAAAATCTCCTCACCAATAATTTTAGAACAGAAACTTTCTTAAATACTTTGTAACAGGAACTCAACGCAACTGAAATTCAAAGCAGAAGAAACAGTTATATGAAATATGCCTCCAATTGGACTTAATATATTCTTATCTAAAATGGGAGGTTTTTGACTATGTAATTATATTTTTTTGGCATGCCCAAGATTTGATATTAACATTTGTGTATGATGCATACTTCTTATTGAACGTTTGTCCAAATATGTACCAGCAATTTCTATTATAAGTAGCTCTAGTAGCATAGTGCCTAAGGCATTTGACTGCTAACCAGAAGGCTGGCGGTTCAAACCCACCAGCTGCTCCTCAGAAGGAAGATGGGGCAATCTACTTTTGTAGTGATACTGCCTCAGAAACCCAAAGAGAGGTTGCTATGAGTCAGACCAGACGGCACATAACAACAACAACAAGGACTTCTATTAAGGAGCTCTGGAGGCGTAGTGCCTAAGGCATTTGACTGCTAACCAGAAGGTTAGTGGCTCAAATCCATCAGCCACTCCAGGAAAGGAAGATGGGGCTATCTACTTCTATGAACATTTACTGCCTTGGAAATCCAAAGGGGTTTCTATTACATATTACATAGATGGAAATAGATATGTAGGATATTGATCAGTTTTATTTGTATTTCGTGCCAGTTAAGTATGTAAAAATGGTCCCTTTTTATACTTCTATATGTGTACAGTCAGAATCCCTGGTGGTGCAGTGGTTAAGCACTTGACTGCTAACTGAAAGGTCAGTGGTTTGAACTCACCAATTGCTCAGCAGGAGAAAGATGTGGCAGTCTACTTCTGTAAAGATTTAGGGCCTTAGAAACCCTGTGGGGCAGCTCTACTCTGTCCCATAGAGTCCCTATGAGTCAGAATCAACTTGATGGCACCAGGTAACACATATGGCCATAAATGCCTTACAAGAAGTTGGCGGGACACACAAACACCTTTGAGGTGGGGTCTGGGACTGGAGAAGATGTAAGCTGGAGTAGAGGCAATAAGGGACTTCTGCACTGACGGTGTGTGTGGGAGTGCCTAAGAGGATTTCATGAATAATGTCTGCTATTGCTGATGGGGCAATCTACTTCTGTAGTGATACTGCCTCAGAAACCCAAGGAGAGGTCGCTATGAGTCGAGTCCGACTTGACAGCACTTAACAACAACAACATTGCTGAAGTCACACCCTACTTGTAACCAGAGGCCATGTTATCTGAGCCAGGTCACCCAGCTAATGGAGAGACAATATAGATACATAATGTATTACACACACACGCACACACAATTGGTCACTCCCAAACGATACAATCAATGCCAGAGGAACCACTTTGGCTGCAGTAGTAGAAGCATCTAGGATGGGGCCCAAAGTGCCTCCTGATCACGCCCTCGCCTAATGAGTCAGGACTTCTGAGGGCCCACTATGGAGCTCCAGGACTAGAAGCCAGAATTCTGACCTGCTCTCTGGCAGGAGTACACAGTCACAGACCAGTGTAAGGGACCCGGGGCAATGAGCCTGGCTAGATCTAACACCTGAAGTCAAGGAGGACTAGGAAAGAAGTGTTCAGAAAAGTCAGTAGTGACGTCTTTAAAATGAAAGAAAAATGGGCATTTCTGTCTCCTCATCTCTCCATGACGTGTTCCTACAGGTTGCTAAACAACAGAGCAGCGTGAACAGCTCATCAGAAAAACATGGCTCACAGCATGGGAAAGGGCACAGGAGCATGACTGAAATGCTCTCATCCTCACCTGCCCCAGCTACTGGCGTGGGCTTGGGCAAGTTGATTAATACCAAATTCCTTGTGGATCAACTGCATGTAATCATAGTACCCACCTCCTATGGCTGTCCTCAAAACTACATGGGTTAACATTTATAAAACACCAGATCAGTGCCTAGAATTTAAAAGCATTCACTAAAATTAGCTATTACAATGGATATAATCATTATTTACCATCTTCATCCTTCACAGCCTCATCATGCAAGGTTGCAAAAGAATCTAAGCACTACTTAAGTCTCTATTTTCAGGAGGTTTGGTGGTATAGTGCCTAAAGCATTTGACTGTGAACCAGAAGTTTGGTGGTTCAAACCTACCAGCCACTCCATGAAAGGAAGACTGGGCGATCTACTTCTGTAAAGATTTACTGCCTTGGAAACCCAAAGGGGTTGCTATGGGTTGGAATCGACTTGATAGCACTGAGTTTGATTTTTTGGGTTTGTTTTTAGTCTCTATTTGACATCTAAATCTGCACAAGCCACAATGCCCTGGTCCAATGGTGCTACCTCTGAGAATATATTTAATTGGTGGAACACCAAGAATTTGGTTATTGAGCATGTTTCCATTTATACTTCAGTTTCTAGAAATTTTAGACTCAAAATATCAGCCCAGTTCAAATAACTGAACAAGATTTTATCATGTGTCCAGCATTTATATTTTATTGTTACCCTCCTGCTATCCTACATGTATGTTCCCTCTGCCAGTTATACTACTCTTTTCTATCCTGTTTGATATTATTATTTCTATCATCTGTCTTCACTACTCTGTGAAAGGAGGTAGATTAAAATCAACGACAAGTCAACTGTACATTCCAACACATGGTTGCACACACGACACATACAACATGACAATGAAAAGGGAAAAGGAATAGGGACATAAGAAAAGAGGCAAAAATGAGCAGGTGTGTTTAGTGGGCTTACAGTTATGGCATGTTGCTCCCCTGTATCCTGTGTCTGCACAGTCACAGTGGAAGGTGCTCCAGGACTGGGAGCATTCGCCGCCATGCTCACAGTAGTTGGGCAAACACCTAAAAGAAAGTGCAGATAGAGTCACTACAGTTCACTTTTACACATATCATAAAATATTGACCACAGATCTGAAGACATGGTCCTAAAGAAGAAGAAAAACATAAAGAGGACACTCAACATAACTAGGTATTATGAAGTCTGTCTAGGGCACTTTAATCACAGAACTAAACATCAGGTCCATAAACTTATCCAATTTCAACTGATGCTGAGGTCACTGTTACCACTTGATTTTCAACATGTTCTACTGTATCAGAGACCTTTATTTTTCCTAAATGGTACATCACTAATTCAGTATGTTGTCAAGGAGGGGTCGCTATGAGTCGGACCCAACTCCAAGGCAATGAGTTTGGTTTTTGGTTTTGGTTTATGTTGCCAAAAATATTAATTGCTTATACCGAATCAAACCAAACTCACAACTGTCGAGTCGGATCCGACACATAGCGATCCCTCCTTGGGTTTCCGAGGCAGCCTCACTACAGAAATAGATTCCCTAACCTTTAGTTGAACATACAGGCATACCTCATTTTATTGCACTTTGATTTATTGTGCTTCACATTTTTTTTTACAAACTGAAAGTCTGTGGCAACCCTGTGTTGAACAAGTCTATAGGCACCATTTTTCCAACAGCATGTGGTTACTATATGTCTTTGTATCACATTTTGTTAACTCTCGCAATATTTCAAACTTTCTCATCATGGTACTGCACACTTAATGGACTACAGTGTAGTGGAAACATAAGCTTTGTAGGCACTGGGAAAACAAAAAATATGTGTGACTTGCTTTATTGCAATATTCACTTTATTGCAGTGGTCTGGAACCAAATCCACAATCTCTCTGAGGTGTGCCTGTATTAAGTTACTACATTGTGTAAATATTAAAGGAAGAAGGAAATCTAGAGATGGGAAGATGGTGTCTTACCTGTAGCCCACATGTTACTTCTTTCTAGCATCTTAATGCCTGAAAAACTAGGTGCAGCAGTTTGAAGTGGGGATTCTGGCACTCTGAACAGCTCATTAAGTCAGAGTATGCCAAACTCAGGGGAGTAGGATTAGAAAGAAGGGAGAGGCAGTGTAATAACCCGGAAAGAATAAAAATAGGTGAACCTGCCCTGAGGAGCGCCAACCAGCCAGCGAGACAGGGCATCAGAAGTCTCCTTAGCATAGTGAAAAGAATGCACCAGAGGACCTGTGGCCACTCCATGGATCTACCTTCAGCATCTGCATTTATGGGTAAACTTGGGACCACTGGGAGGGAACAGAGACCTTCTGGCTCCAGGTGCCGCTGAATTGGGAGCAGAGAGGGAAACATGCCACAAGTGGGTGGGCCCTGGAATGAACTCCTGGCACAGATCAGGGCAGCTATTCCAGAACAACTTTTTGGCAAGGAGGGGCCTGGAGTACAGGGTTTTTGCGGCTGGCTGAACCTGGCGGAGAGTGCTGAACTTGAGTTGCAGGCCTGTGAGTAGCAGTATAATGTCACCATTAGCAGTCTACTCAAAGCCCTGGAAATGGCTACTGGTGCCTTGGAGTTTTTTTTTTCTCTTGTCTTCCTCCTTTCCTCACCTCTTCCCTGACTCATCCAATAGAAAAACCACATTAAGCCACCACAACACCTGCCAGCTCAAATCCTAAACTTCCTGCATGAGGAACAGAGACCTGCAACCACATTCCACACAGTGACTCCATAATCACAAAGAAAACTACAGAGCAGCCCAGTACACCTGAATTAGTAACCAAAAAAATAAAACACACCAGCTCCACTTTTGCAAAAATATTAAATCATAAAATCAAGACAAAACAAATCAATACATAACTAACACGTAAAGACAACTTCAAAATGTCTAGGAAACAACAGACAACCTCGAATGAAACAAACAAAACAAAACAAACAAACAAAAAAGAAACCAGAATAGGACAACAAAAATAAAATTCCAAACAAAAGTCACATTAAACATGGAGGAAGAGGAGGCAATAGAATTATCCGAGAAGGAATTTAGAGGGTATGTTTATAGAACTCTACAAGAGCTTAAGAAAACCCCAAACAGAATCAAGGAAAACACAAAACAGTACCCTGCAAGAACTCAGGAAAACCATTCAAGAACAAAATAACAAGATTAATACACAATCAGAACTTATACAAAAACAGCAGTTAGAAATGCAGAAGATGAATACCAAAATTAAAAATTACACAACACAGTGGAAGCACAAAAGAGTTAAGTCAGAACAGGCTGAAGAATACATTTCCTAGCTACAATATAAATCCCCTGACACCAGCCTGTATAAAGAAAAATCAGTACAAATATTTAAAAGAAATGAAGAGAACCTAAGAGTTATATGGGATGGCATGAAAAGAAACAACATATGCTTCATTGGAATTCCAGAACAAGAAGAGGTAAAAAAAAAAAAAAAAAAAAAAACACTGAGAAAATTGTGGAAGACTTGCTAACAGAATACTTCCTCCATATTATGAAGGAAGAAAAGATACTTGTTCAAGAAGCTCAAAGAACCACATACAGGATAGATTCCAAGAGAAAAACACCAAGGCATATCATAATCAAACTCTCTAAAACCAAAGACAAAGAAAGAATCTTGTTAGCTGCCTGGGACAAAATAAATATTCTTATAATGATTAAACAGTTAGGCTGAGTTCTGATTACTCAGTAGAAACCATGCAGGTAAGAAGGCAATGGGACGGCATACATAAAACACTGAAGGAAAAGGACGTCCAACCAAGAATCCTATATTCAGCCAAATTTTACATCAAATTTGAGGGTGAAATCAAGACATTCTCAGACAAACAGAAATGAAGGGATTTTGTGAAAACCAGACCAACCCTACAACAAATGCTTAAGGAAGTCCTTCCAATAGAGAACTCACAACAGAGAACAAGCAAAATCAGGACACATGACATCAACACTAAAACCAAATCAGAAATAGAAGCTCAAAATAAGACCATAAAACATTATAAACTAAAAAACAAGGAAGTCCATCTGCATACAACAACAGCAACTAACAAAATACAGGGCATGAAAGTTCTAGGTACAAACTTCCAAATGGAGAGGAAAACAGGACAATATCCCCATAGAACAGGTGGTTCCAAAAATACAGAGACGAGAATGTGCTTCAAGCTAACCACAGAGAAAATTAACAATCTTCATAAGCAAACCCAGAAGGAAGGAAAACACATGGGTTTAGTAAGCACAAAACCAACAAAAAAGAAGAAAAGAGAGGAAGCACTTGACAAAATGAAGTCAGCATAGAAAAGTATATGGAACAAGGAAACTCCAACAATGTGACAAAAAAACACAATAGAATGATAGCAATCAAGGCATACCTATCACTAATTACACTCAATATGAATGGACTAAAGGCACAAGTCAAGAGAAAGAGTGTCAGACTGGATAAGAAAAGAAGACCCATCAAAATCCTCCTGCCAAGAGAACCACCTTAAACACAAAGATAAAAAACAAATTAAGAGTTCAAAAAAAAAAAAAAAAAAAAACCCACACCAAACTCACTGCTGTCGAGTTGGATCCGACTCATAGCGACCCCTCCTTGGATTTTCGAGGCAGTATCTCTACAGAAGTAGATTGCCTGATCTTCCTTTCCTTCCAAGAAGTGGCTGGTGGGTTTGAACCACCAGCCTTCTGGTTAGTAGTGAAATACCTTAGGCACTATGCCACCAGAGCTCCCACAATTAAGAGTTAAGGGGTGGGAAAAAATATACCAAGTGAACAGTAACCAAAAAAGAGCAGGAGTGGCAATCTTGATTTCTGATAAAATAGACTTTAAGGTGGAGAACACCATAAGAGACAAAGAAGGTCACTATATGATGCTGAAAGGGTCAATTGACCAAGAAGACATTACGATAATAAATATCTATGCACCCAATAAAAGTGTTCCAAAATACATGAAGTAAATATTAATTGAATTGAAAGGGAAAACAGACAGCTCTACAATAGTAGCAGGGGACTTTAACACACCACTTCCAAGGAGGGACAGATCAACTAGAAAAAAAGTCAACAAAGATACAAAAGAACTCAACAACACAATCAACCAACTCAATCTCACAGACATATACAGAGCACTCCATCCCACAAAAGCACAATTCACATTCTTCTCCAATGCACATGGATCATTCTCTAGATGAGATCATATATTAGGACATAAAACAAGCCTCAATAAATTCAAAAACAATGAAATACTACAAAGCATCTTCTCAGACCACAATGCTATAAAATTAGAAATTAATAATAGGAAGATCAAGGAAAAAACATCAAATGTGGAAGTTGAACAATTCACTGCTCAAAAACTACTGGGTAATAGAACAAATAAAAACTGAAATAAAAAAATCCTAGAAACAAATGAGAATGAAGATACATCATACCAAAACCTATGAGACACAGTAAAAGTAGTACTCAGAGGTCAGTTTATAGCAATAAAGGCATACATCAAAAAAGAGGAAAGAAACAAAATCAACACTCTAACTCAACAACTTCAACAATTACAAAAAGAACATCTAGAAGTAAGGAAATAATAAAGATCAGAATAGAAATAAATGAAACAGAAAACAACAACAACAACAAAAACAGAGAAAATCAACAGAACAAAAAGCTGGTTCTTCAAAAAGGTTAACAAAATTAACAAACCACTGGCAAATCTAACGAAAGAAAAGAAAGAGAAGATGGAAGGTACAAGAACAGTAAATGAAAAGGGTGTCATCACAACACAACCAACTGAAATGAAAAAGATACTGACAGGATACTATGAAAAACTATACTCCAACAGACTTGGAACCTAGAAGAGGTGGACAAGTTTCTAGAATCAAAAGACCTACCTAAACTACCCCACTCAGAGACAGAATACTTGCACAGACTCATAACAAAGGAAGAAATTGAACGGGTCATAAAAAAAATTTCCCACAAGAAAAAGTTCTGGCCCTGATGGCTTCACTGGAGAATTTTTAAAAATATTCAGGGAACAGTTGACACCTATACTAC